TCGGCCAAGTCCATGTCCTTGAAGAAGGACTGGGTTAGGGTAAGCTCTGACGTTGCTTGAATGACTCAGCAGGCTGTGCAATACCAGTTGTTTGTAGAAGGCGGGGTTGGACTGCGCGGTGACGTGTTTGTGCGCATGCATTTTTAAAAGGTATGGTTTTCGTCTTGTTCCCCTGCTGTTTTAGCACCACTGCTGTTGCACCTCTCTTTTGGCCCATTCTGGTGGAACCACACGGAAGCTTCACTCTCCTTGCCCCCCCTCACCGGTCTGCGGTGCATGCCTTAACGGTACCGCCAGAAGAGTGCATCATTCCTTTTCTCCCATCGACGATGTTAGATGTCTTGCCCTCACGGAACAAGCACTATCTACATACACACTGTATGTTGCAGCACTTCATCCCACCACTTTGACCACCGACAAGATTTTTGAGGATGCATAACTTTTGGCTGGGAGGCGACCCATGGTTCATATGCATTCGGCCGGTCTCCAATGTCGGGAATACTCACCAGAAGCCGTCGCCACTGTTGGGTGTTCGTGGGAGTTAGTTCATGAGCTTTCCTTTGGCAGCCCATTTATGTTCCGGTTTGATTATCCGAGCGAAGCGAGATTCTAATCTGGCCTGAGGTCTCGCCGCAAAATAGGGCTCCATCCCCCAAAACAAGTTTGCCACGTCTGTTTGATTAATTTAGGTTTTAGACTACGGTACAGTCAGCACATTCTTTTTCCCTTGAGACCACACAGCGGATTGCAGCAGAGAACGCACGCACTGCGGGCGACACCACACAGCAGACAGCGTACGCATTACAGGCGATACACACGCACAGCGGGCGACAGCATCTGGGATTCGATGCCGCTGGACTCTGGTGTGATGAGGCTATATATATACTTATATATATATATATATTTTTTTTTTCTCCCATCATTGGACTCTGTCCTCTGCCCCTCTGGTCCCTATCCTCCACTTCTACCAGCTAGATGACCCAACCTGGGTCACATAGGAGGGGGGGGTTGGACCCCCCCCTGCGGTTCCTGCCTGAGACCTTTCTATCGCGAGAAGGGTACAGCAATCCCTTCCCTCGTGACTTGTGAAGTATGTAATGCTGTCGCGCATTTTTTTTTTTACTGCCGCGTTCAACTGCCAGCAATGTGAGCACATTACCACATGAGTTTTCGAAACCTAGGACGCCGATCGCCGACGCACCACTTCGAGCGTGTGCTCCATTGTGGTGTCTTTGGGCGTGATAGTTGTGTTGGGCATGGGTACTGTATGTGGCGAGAGCATCGTGGCGATGTGAAATCCGGTTTGACTTTTTCGCCTGGCGATGCGGTCCGATTGCCCGGGCCAAAAAAAACGATTTGGATTCCACGCCGCCACGAAGGTCTTCCCACACACAGCACCCATGCCTAACACAACTGTCACGCCCCGAGATATCGCAATGGAGCACACGCTCTAAGTGGTGCGGTCGGTGACGAGAACTGACTTGTGTCCTGCTGTTTCGCTAGCAGTTGGCAAAACACCGAAAAAAAGAGGGAACAGGGGGTTCAGCAATAGGATGCGGGGGGTATGTATAACCACGAAAGCGGGATGTGGACGGGGGCGGGGGTAACCGGTAGGTGAAAGTTAACGTTACCACAGCTCTCACACCAGCGCACAGCAGGTGTAGTATCAAAGTGTGTGGTGTTTGCGCTCTGTTTCCGCCCGTGGACGCACACGTCTGACGACAGTTACATCTATCAGCTGTCGCTCGTTGTTGCGACAGCTAGTATATCTTTTTAATCTCGTTCGTCATGTTGCGTTTGGTCGGAGCAGTTGCTGGGGCTGTGCATCCAGGGAGGAAAGCGAGAGACTGTCCACAAGGGACCTCTGAGAGTCCTGCGCATCGGCAAGGACGCGGGGGTACGCCTGGAGTTCTTCTACATCTTCAATGATGTGGTGAGCAATCAGCTGTAGGGCATGGAGCATCGACTCTGGATTCATGAACAGTAGCACGGCTCTGTTGCCCCTAGCCGCAGCAGCAGGCGCAATGCTTCAGAGGTTCTGTGTCAGTGCCGACTACACCGGGCTGGCTGAAGTGTTTATTGGTTTACAGGAAATATCTGTATTTGGTTGTACTCCTGGAACTTCATTTGGCGTCAAGCGGACGCCGATTGGAGAAGGTTAGGATAGGACCTCATCTCAGCCTCGTGACGGGAGGGCACCACACGGAACGCCCAACGCGAACGCGCTCCATGTCCAACGCTGTGTGCATATTTGTGGACAGGTTGTCCGAGGGAAAGCGTTGTGGAGTGGAAAGTTCAAGCACAAGGAGACCATGGTCGTAACCAGAGTTGAGGTGAGTTCGGCTGTGACAACGGTAGTAACTTGTAGTTGTTGGTCGTGCAGCGCAGTTGCGTATTGGTTTGCTCTCACACCGCCGTGGTAAAATCTCATTCTGCTGTCATGCTTCCAAGCGTACGGTTGGCGCAGATCTGTGAGTACAACCCCCCACAACGTCTCACCATAGTAGTACGAAGCGAGACTGTCAATGTTTTGACGCTTATGACGGGAGGTTCATGGCCGTAGGAACGCGGCGCACAGATAGACAGCGTTCCGAAGCAGTGGCCACGCCTTCCTTTCCAACCCAGACGTTCGTTAACCTCCGTGCCGTCACTTTTTTGCCGACGTCCCTTGTTTATTTAACCCTAGTTAATAAATGTTTCCCCAACCTCATCTCGACGATGACCTCAACGAACGTTGCATCCCTTCCCTGCCCCCGCCGCTGCCGAGAGTAGTCAAGCTTCGACATGGATGCCCGGCACGAGGCTCTACTTCCGAAGGAGGTCACGTCTAGGATGGCACACGACAAGATGTTCCGTATAATACACAGGAAGGGCAGCGTGATCGTCATGGCCAAGTCGGAAACTGACAAGGCGGTGTGGCTCTCGGCGCTCGAACACCAGATGAAGCTGAAGAAAACGGGTAACCTCCAAAACATCACCGCCAGCAACCGCATCGTCCACGAGGCAAGCTTCCTCCTGCGTTTATGTCCTCGTACTGTTGCTGGGTCGCCCTCCCCACCGATTCCCCATCTCCGAGTGTTTTGGGATTTTTGTGTGGTGGCGTGCTGTGTGCCTTCGCGGTGATTCACGCCGCCCCGTCTTAGATGTCGTCTCTGTTTATATAGTGACGAAGTGACTGACGTACGTTCGTGTTGTTCATCTGTACTCGAACCCCTACCGTGGTGTAGACTGCGCTAGATGCTTCGTGCCTGGCGTGGTACCCGCTGAACGACGACCCGATGGTCCACAGTCCAGACCCAAGCTTACCCACTCTGGCCCACCCCCAAACACAACAGGACAACTTTGCCAGTCTGGAAAAGTCATCACAAGGGTCGCTAGAGTCGATGACTGCCACAGAGACACGGGCAGGCTTGGGGGCAGGCGAGAGCAGCTTCTCGTCTGCGCCTTCTATGCCCTCGAACCGGCGTTCGACCTCCTCGGAGCAGGCCAGGCGATCATCTGCGGCCGCGACGTTGGGGTTGGGGCCGCTGGATGGAGGGAGTCGGGGAGAGGATGCGGCGGCAGCGGCCCCGGCCAGGAAGTCAACGAGCTCGCGGGACAGGAACCGGACACATGAGGGGAGGAGGTAAGGACAGCACCCTGCTTCATTTGCAGCTCTGCTCTACATGTGTGCCACCACATGCATTTTGTGGCATACTGCAGTAGATACAGCCGGAGGAAAGTATTCGCATGTACCCGACGACTTCATGTCCTTCCGTATCTTTCGGTTGTTCGTGTGGATTTGCTGCCACTTGGCTACGATGCCCTGGCTGCGATGCGTTTTTGTGCTGCGACTGCCATGTCGACACCTTGATTGCGCTCCCCATCAGCTGCGTCGCAGTGCTTACGGTTGGTCTCTGATCTACCCGTGCCTTTCCCCCGCGATATCGCTTCAAAGTAGCAGCAGTATGAAGGCCACCCCGCTGGCGACGACGTCAGACCTTCTAGTCTCTCTCGAGTCGTCGGACGAAGAAGACGAGGAACCGTCTGCCCGGGGAGGTCGGCAATCCATGCCCCACTCGCAGCAACAGCGGTCGCAGCAGCAGCAAATGGCTAGACGCCAGACCGCAGAAGGGCACGTTTCTCCCCCGAAGACAACGACAACAGCGATAGTACCCGCCAACGGAAACGGAGCAACAGGTGTAACATAGCGAAAAATATGTGGGTATTTGGTGTTGGCGTGGTGAGCGCTAAGAGGATTATAACCAAGTTTGCCCGGGGCGTGGTTGGCGTTATTTGCGAGGGTGAGATCCTAAACTGGCCGGTTGTGGCCAGGCTGACAGGTCGTTTCTTTGCGGGGGAAAGACCAGGTAGATGCTGTAGAAGCTTTCCGAAATCTATGAACCATTACGTTATTAGGCGCTCGAAACGACACAATTACAACAGTGGCGAATGGGTACGACAGCATGGTCGAAGGGTTCAACCTTGTCGTTTCCCGAGAGTCTTACAATACATGGATCCATCGCAAGCAACACCGCAACGAACAGAGCGTCAGTCGCTCATTTAAATAACCAACTACTGTCACCAATCCCATGAATGACCCGTGCGCTTGACGGTGCGTGTGATTCGCAGGGCCATCTCTCCTTGACAGGGACCTCATGGCGTTTTTCGGAGCTCCCTCCGCGTCCACGCTCGCCCCCCAACAGCAAAGTTCTCAGCAGATGCAACGGCAGTCGCCCCCGAACTCGTTCGGAAACGGGGCAGCGCCTATGGCCGCCGGGAGAGACGGAGGGGGCATGCCAAGGAGCCGTTCGGGGCTGGCCAGCGTTTCCTCCTCCGGTTCGGGGATGCCGTTGTTGCAGCCGCCTACCAGGGACACTCCGTCCTACAACCGATCCACGTACAACAGCGGGGCGGCGGCGCAGCAGCAACGACCCGAGGTGGCACCAGGGGCCATGGTTTTGCACGGACGCGGCGCAGGGGCACAACCACAGCAGCAGCAGCAGCAGCAGCAGCAGCAGCAGCAGCAGCAGGTGCCTCCGGGGGCGATGGTTGTGCGCGGAGGTGTTGGGAACGGTCAGGGGAGCGCCACCACGCACAGCGGGTTTGATCAGGTAACTTATTCTTGGTTGTTTATCATGTTCAAAATGATACGGGTTTTCTGTGTAACCCTTCCTGTCGTCAGACTTTAGTATGCACTGCGATCAACGTTGGTGCCAATGCTGGCCATATCGGGGCTGTGGTGACCACTTAATGGTTCTTGGACGCAATGGTTTGACTTGTATTCTGTCTACAATTTTTGTCACATCGTCCCACCCTGGCCACGTTTGTCTTAACCTGTACCACCAGTTCCAAGCACCGGGGCAGTTCTTTCGACCGGCGCAGAACAACGTGCAAGGGCAGCAGGCGTACGGCATACAGCAACAAGTGAGTTCACGCTGGCGATGGGTCTCGCCACGGCACCTTGTCCGCCTGGGGACAGGTACTCACGCATTGATGGCTTTGTCACACCAAAATCTTGTTGGGAATCTGTCAAGTTTCCTGTGCTTGGTAACTGCGCACTCTCCCTTGAAACGTCCAATCGTGGTTGCAACAATGATGATCTTGGTTGAAGGACAGCCTGGCATGCCAAACACCTTACCACTTTCCGCGCCGCATATTCGCATGGTTCGTACCAGGCGTATTCCAGTGCTCAAGGGGGAGGGGTGCAGCAAGTGCAACAAGTGCAACTCCAGCAAGACTTCACGCCCCAGGTATACATATTTCGTGTCCCCTGAGCGGACAGCATATCCACCTCCCAGCGCACACTTGGTACATGGCTTTGTCGCCCGTGTAGTTTACCTGTTCATGCAGAGCGATCCCTGCTTGATAGAAGGCCTTTTCTACTCATGAATCTTTCGCTGTCTGGGATGTTGGGCACGTTCACGTGGTGATCGCTCTCGTCCGTTCGTTGTATATGCATTGTGTTGGCCTTCTACGCTTGCATAGGGAAGTAATCAGTTTGCTCCACAGCAGCAGCAGCCTATGATGGGACAGCAGCAGCCCATGATGGGGCAACAGCAGCCCATGATGGGGCAGCAGCAGCAGCAGCAGCAGCAGCAGCAGCAGCAGCAGCAACAGCCACAGCAGGTAAGGAGGGTGAGGTCGAACGGGTTACCCTACTACGTAGCCTTCGATGCTACTCATATGCATATAGATCAGCAGAATCATCCACCCCCTCGTGTGGTTTGGTCTGGCGTCGCACGATCAAAACAGACAATATTACTGTAGGAGTTGACCATGGCTATGGGTGTGGGATTTTACACAGCGGGCACTGGCTGAAGATCTTGAAATCCACGCGGACGGGCGGGCAGCAGACGGGGTCAGACCAGGCACCGGCACGAACAATGAGGAGTGCGTCCTTTCCAAGTACATGGTCGTTTATTTTGGGCGTATGCGACATACTTACTACAGCCGTTGGCCCGCTATTTAGTTCTGACACGTAAATTCCGACAATTATTCTGGAGGCCAGACTGTAGGGATGGCTGACATGGCCTTGGCCGCCATCGGAGAAGAACATGGCGACTGGTCTTGGCTCGACGGCTGACCAGGCCTTGCACCCGTCTTCAGGAATCCCGCATGCTGTTTCGTTGACCCTCCCCTGTTGTGCCGTTCCTTGCATGGTGAATGTTCGGTATCGCGTAGTTTCAGCAGGCATACCCGCAACAGCAGCAGCACCAGCAGTACCAACAACAGCAGATGCACCAGCAATATCAAGGGTTCTGAGTCCTGGCGACGATCGGACGGAGCGCTGATTCCCGGGGGATACTGTTGTGTCCAAGGCGTTACGACAAAGGCATTGGCTGTGTGGTCACGCACCATTTGTTTGTACGGCGTGGAGGGGTTGCGATCGGAGGCTTGGTCGGGAGGAATTGACGTTGGTTCTGGCCAGGGGAGATGTTTGAAGTAGATATATTTTCGCAGTACTTAAACGAAGGGGAAGGAAGGGAAACTTTGCCTCGTTCTGTTGTTGTTGTCGTGCTTATCGCGAATGGTAAATGTTTTTTCTTTTTTTTGCTCGGATGCACTTGCTTGTTGGTTTTCCTGCAAATTATTGTTGGTGACAACGGAAAATTGTACACACAAAATTGAGGATTAGGGTGGCACTCTCTCTGCGGGAGAGGCAACTATCTCTACTGCTTCCTTGACCTGACCACCTATGGTATGTTGACTTCTTGTTTGGATTAAGCTACACACCGTTTTGTTTACCCACACCGTCCATGTGTCGGGTTGCGTATTCCCCAAGTTTAGGCTCTCCCGCTCGTAATAAGATTTTGTTGCCTCTTTCCTGTATTTGTTGTATTCATCCTACTCTGCTTTAGGGGCGTGTGGTACCGAACGTAAGCCTTGGCGCGTGGGTTACTCTCCTCCTACAAGACCTATTATTTGGGGGCCATCGATGTTGCCGTTAAGTTTTTTGAAGAATTGGGAGGCTATATAGGTGCATTTTTTTGGCGCTGTGTAGCAATAAAATACGTCGACGGTTGACCATCCTCGGATTTTGAATTCCCTCAGAGGTGAACGAAAGACGGTACCCTCGAATGGTTGATCGGCAACATCTCAAAAGCAGGGCAACGGGGCGCACGCCCAACCTTCGATCAAGGTGAAGACCGTTGAATTAAGAGCGGGCGTCCGCGGTGCCGACTGCTACTGTAGGATATCTGTGGCGAGGCTATGCATCTGTACGGCCAAGTACAGAATCAGGTCACACCTAAAAATAGGATCGTAGACGATGTCGCAAGTCTACATGATCCAACGGACCAAACGGCGTTGAAACGATAGGTGGTACTGAGGGATTTGATTGTTGGATCTAAAAATCCTCACGCACCTACACAGCGCAGGAGGGGGTCCAACCCCCCCCTCCTATGTGACCCCGGTTGGGTCGTCTAGCTGGTAGAAGTGGAGGATAGGGGCCAGAGGGGCAGACGCCAGAGTCCAATGATGATAGAAACACAAACAAAAAACACCTACCGCGAGTGACAACTAGTCTAGAGTACAGGTTAGATACCTACATTAACATCAACACCAGGTTACAACTCGCCTGAAAAGCACACTTCGAAGTTCTAAGGTTGTTGTGATTGTGCAGGTAAGTTAGACATCTGTACGCCCGCTGTAACGAAGCACCCGAAAGCCCCCCGGCCTTTTCGCGTCATAGAGCGAAAATAATATGCGGGCGGTAGGGTGAATTTGAGGGTACTTCGGTTCAACCAACGATCATCGTACTGCGTACACCTCAAACACGTGTGTGAAATGCTAAACAGAGCTCTGCCTTATTGCTGTTGCCCACTTGCCCTCAGCAAGGCTACTTCGTCCAAGCTCGGGTGAACGTCTCTCTAACACAAAATGATACACAACCTACGGCAGCCCTCACCTTGTCGTTCGCTACCAGACCTTTCCCTGCTCTCTTCAACCCCATGGATCGACGAAATTTGAATTTTGAGAGCCGTCGATTGATTGTAGCCTATGGAAGATGACAATATATAGAGCGAAGCTTCGCTCTATATATTGTCATCTTCCATAGATTGTAGCATACAATATTGGTGGAGGGGGGGCTGCACCAACTGGACTGGTGGGGCCTGGCACAGTACCGGGGGGGGGGCGCTGGGGGGCTAGAGTCTGTAAAAGAGAGGTGCTGGGAGCAACTTGGTGCAGCCGCAGGGCAGAGCAGAGCGCGGCACCACTCCCTTCCCCCACCTCTCTCTCCCCCTGTCTTCCTCCCCTAACCCAATTTCAAAATGATTGTCTACAAGGACTTGATCAGCGGTGATGAGATGATGACGGACGCATTCCCGCAAAACCCTGTGGTCGGCAACGACGGCGAGATCGTCGAGGGCATGTTCGAGGTACGAGCAACGGTGGTGTTTCCTCTCTTGTGGAGCCCTCCTAGTCCACTGCAGTTGTGACTGAGGGAGAGAAAGGTTCGCCTGTCGCTAGTGTCCTCATGGATGTGCAGGGGTTGTTTCCCGGCAGGTAAGAGTTGTTACATCATCTGCCTGCGTACGGCTGTATTTGAATAGTCATTTGAATGGTGTGTGGTATCGCCGTGTTGGCGTTGTGTGACTTCAGTTTGTTAGATGTAGATGTTCAGATGCGGTATACGATTACTCCTAAATGCTGGTCGAGAAGGGTGGGCCAGGTTAGCATAAGGGCTGGTGTTTGGACTCGGCAAGGACTGGTGGTGTGTCGACAGGGAAATAATGAAATAATGGAGCGACTCTTTTGGGTTGGCAGCCGGAAGAGTACGGTCGCTTCCGTCCCACGACGCGGTTGTTCGCTTTTGCTCTAATTCGTGCAGTTGCAAGTTGCCAGGGTTTCTCCCCTGCGCAAGTGTTTCAGAGATATGAATGATCGAGCGTGTCAGAGCATTGCTTTTGTAGGCGAAAGTGGCTGTTGGAGCGAGCGTGTGCCTCTCGATGTTCCCGGCATGTTTAAGTACGAGGCGAAGTGTCGAAAGGTTGAACTGCTACCTTGTAACAGTGGGGAAAGGTTGGACCTGCTGCCTTACAGCGGAACCATGGATGGGTGGTACCGACCCGCCATTTCCCATTTTCAGGGCTCTCCCTCTTCAATGGGACAGCACGACGAGCAACACAAAAACCAAGGTGTCAGAAGAAACTGCGCCGTGTTCCATGTGAAAGTTCCATTTACTATGTATGTGACACACGAGGTAACAGCAGTGATTCCCTCCGTTATGAGGAAACATGACTTAAAATACGAAGACAGAAAGACTACCCATTCGAGATATGACCACAGCAGTCGAATGGAATGTGAAGTCTTGATTGTCTTTACCCTGTGGACAAGTACAGGGGATTGCTGTTGTTTCGTCCGATTTATTATGGCGACGGTTCCCCCATTGTTCGTGGTGAGATGTGTACTACACTTTTCAGTGTATTTTTCGTACAACTACTACAACCATCCAGGGTCACGGAGGAGGGGGTAAACACCAGGGAATTTTTCTTCTTGAAGTATTTATTTTCGTGCGCCGCCTTCCTCCTGCGGTGCTTGCGCGGTTATTTTTTTTCGCGGTAAGGGTCCAGCCGTCCCTTTTCCTCGTCAACGGTGCTAACGTCGAAGTTGGTACTCACGAGAGCCTTTGCAGCTATGGTTCGCTTTCAGTAAATTTTGTTTTTTTTTCAGCCCATGGGGATTCGAGCTCACGACCCTTGCGACTAGCGGGTTCGAGGTTACCACTAGACCACCGGAGCGACCGGTGCAGGTAAGGTAGAATGTAGGTTACCTTTTACAGATGTTATGGTACTTATCACTAGCTGGTATCACTGATATACGTCATCAGTATATAGGCTTGAAAAGACTCGAACAAGTCCAGTACCCAGCCGGTTTTCTTCCACTCACTGAAAGACTCTTACACATTCCGTTCGGCTTTGGTTATATTTCGAATGGGTAGTCTCTCTTTTGTGTATTTATTTTTCCTAATAACAATTGGGCTTGGCAGAGGTTTGGTTGATCCTTTTCGGGCTTGCTGAACTTTGAAAACCGGTATGACTACCACGTATCTGGGCGTCCGATTTATAGTCTGAAACGCCGTCAGCTACAACTGTACAGACGAGCTTCATGGAGTGCTTTTTTTTTCTAATATCCCGATTATGGTTCCCCTCACTCGCTTCCGGTTTTCCATGCCGCCCGCATGACTGAACTTGGCAGGTTGAGTCTTCCACCGCGGTCAAGGGTGCTGACAACGTGGACATCGGTTGCGGAAACGCGTTCGGCGGCGAGGAGGAGGTCGTCGACGACTCTGTGGAGAAGGTAGCATTTATTGATTACCATGTGGTCATTTGCTGCTCCTCATCGTGTAAAGCAGCGCATGCTTGGCATTGTCCAACCCTCTGTACGATACACGGCTGTCGCGTCGTGGTGCTAGCTCGCCTTCGTTGTTCTGCTGTGAACCACTGGAGTTAACCGCAGGGCTAGATGGCGACATTTCTTGGTCGAGCGAAACAATGCATGTCTCTGATGCCGCTTTCATTACGTGTTTGGTCACGCCACGTTGTTGTTCAGGTGAACAACGTCATCGACCCTTTCAAGTACACCGAGGTACCCTTCGGAAGCAAGACTGAGCTCAAGGATTACCTGAAGGTTCGTGGTTGAGGTTGAAGTCCTCCGGAGTGTTCCGGGAGTTCTTGACTTCGTAAAGTCAGACTGACGGGGCTCGCCACGCTTTCGAACGAAGTCTACACGTAGCTTGCATGAAATCCACCTCATATTGGTGACGGCGATATGTGGTGTTTGTTGTGAAACCGGACGGCAGGAGTATGTACGGAGTGTACGTGCTAAGCTGAAGGAGAAGGGAACGCCGCAGCCCGAGATCAAGGAGTTCATGGCGCAGGCACCAGGGATCGTCAAGTGAGCATGACGGCGTCTTTGAAGTTACTATATGGCAGCATGTTCTTTGGTACACCATCGCTACTCCATATGATTATTGCGCCGATGTGTTCATGTGGATGAAAGACGAGATAGATGGCCAGGTATTGAAGTCCTGGGCGCCGTGAAGTAAAGACATGTTTCGAATAGCGAGAAGCCCAGCACACACGATCGGCTCGCACCGACGCCCATTTGCGCCAAGTTGACAACCTGCTGACTTGTTTGCATACAATGACTGTTCTGGAGACATTTCGTCCTTCCCTCAACGGGCGGCACCTACTGCACATCCCCAGGTTTCTTTTGAGCAAGTTTGCCGACATGCAGACATTTGCGGGAGAATCGATGACGGCGGAGGGGGGAATGGCGTTCGGTTACTACAAGGACGGAGCCCACAACCCGACATTCGCGTACATCAGCAAGGCCCTGGAGGCGGAGAAGGTGCACACTTGACCTTTAGACTTTTGTTGACGCTGCCATATGGCAGAGCTCTTTTTCTGCGACGAAATCGAAGCGCACATCCAAACGGGAGCGCTATACCATTTTCAGTGTCCCAAGTCACGGAGTTTCAGACAAGGTGTCGTAGCGAGAGATTTGTTGTCAAATACGTCGGTAGCATGTCCCGTATACCACACAAGACAACACACCCCCTGCCCTTTGTGAAAGCTCGATTACTCCACGACGGAAGAGGAGGCATAAACGAAACAACGATTGCGTTTTCGGGAGCTCTCGACCAAACGGCTTAAACGCCACCGTTATCCGCCCTTCACTCTTTTCGCTGTTGATAAATCGAGCTTTGAAATCGGTCCAGGGGGTGTTTTATCTTGCGTTGTATACGGTAGTCTGCAGCATGTGCTCCGAAGCTTTTGGAGTGTATCATAGGTGCTTCGTCGAACTCTTATCACAGACTATGCGACGCTTTTGTACAGGCCTCTTTCGTGGCATCTGTCTCACGATGATGGCTAATGATGTGTGCATGTTATCCTTTGAGGTTGGTGACATTTGAACGCGCCAAAGCAGGACTGCAGTGGTTTCCAAATTTGCTGTGTTACGAAGTAGCCAGTAGCCAGGGATTACCGCCCCCCCTGATATTGGGTGTAGATGGGAATGAGAAGTCGCACGCACTTCAACGATTTTTTTTTCCGAACTGGTGTTCTCTACTGGTACAAGTATGTTTCATTTTAGTGTGGACCGACATACCGTACACCGCGCGTTGGAACCACTCACACCTTGTACACCTTTTCGTAACTCAGCATACGCCCACAAGGTAACCAACTCAAATCTATTTCAAGGCCAAACAGCCGGACAAATGCTCTATTATCCCTCCTCGAGCAAAAACCCCGACCAGATGATGCGCGAGTCGAGTACCTCAAGTACTTTCCTTGGAAAGGTGGTTTGCCACTTACATGTAGGCACCTACTTCTACCGTCGCCAGTGGTAAGCGATCTACAGGTGAAATCAAGTTGCGGCCATACTACTGTTTAGACGAAAGTCCTCGCCTCGAAACGCTGACGCGTCACGTTTCGCTCGGTTTGTGTGTCCGCCTGTATTTCAGTTCTAACCATCGGAGGCTGCTGTGGAATCAATCGAGTCTAGGGCGAGAATCAGAAAGGAGACACCCTTCCGGGGGCGAGTGTGGCATTCAGGAGGGCGATCGGACGGAGCGGTCAAACCCCAAGGACTTCGAATAGCCTCTGCTAGCTCGCGCATGTGACGCGAAAAGGAAGGGGCCGATGCGTGTATGTGGTTGCGTACTGATTGCAATTGCGATGATTGTCAATGGGACGAGCTTTGCCACTCGTTTGCATTGCGCATTGGATCTCTCGGGAGATGCGTTCATGGGATACCGTTTTTGTACTGCGCCTGCCACCGCGTCATCCGCGGCGAGCGCATGTGTGACCTGTTGTTCTGCTGTCGTTTTGAGCAAGCAGCTCAATTGTTTCCTGCTAAATAACACGTGACGCATCCTCCTTGGAACGTGAGGAAGAAGATTTACTAGATTTTTTACTCTCGTCTCAACTCATCGTGTCGGACTACTTGTAGGCGGCGCGCAGTTGAATATCCGCCCCACATCTACGGTCTTGTTTGTAGACAGAAAATTATCTTGTTGATAGACAGAAAATTCATACCCTTGCCCGCAGTCTTGCTAAAGGCTTGCTTGCATACTTGGCGTGAACGGCGGGAATTGTATACTACGCTCGGGGTCGTTGGGCGCATGCGTGTATTGACTTGTCGCGCACGTTTTCGTCAACGCTCCCCAAAATGGACCAAAAGGACAAAAGACATCCCGAATTGCTATTAGGCACAACAACACTCATAGTTTCTCCAACAAAATAAGATGCTCGGTCCGCATGCGCCTTCTCGCACCGGCCGCCGACCTGAAAGTCGCCCAACCCAAAACGCCTAAAACTGCACCCTTCTCCTGTTTTCGCAACAACTCCACTGTGCACAACAAACTCGACTTTGTGTCAACCCCATCACCGTCCCCGAGCATAATGCCAATGCGCCCCCCCACTCTCAAAGCGTTTGTGGTTGCAAGAATCCAGTCTTTTTGGTCATTTTCCCAGATGTCCTCCCTGCGGGTGCTTCCGTCTTCGGAGCCTCCGGAATAAGCCTCCCGTTTTCTGTCTCTTCTTATCTTTCGTTTCGAACCGATCTCTCCGATGACCCACTCGTCAGCCCAATTCCGCCCTGTGGGCACGCGACTGTTCGAAAAAAGGGACCTCCTTTGCATAGAACGGCTCTCTTCTGTACTCCCGAGGCGGCCCATCACAGATCTCACTTGCCGAGCGTGAGCGAGATAATCGTACACGCCGGGGTAAGGGGGTGAAGTGAGAACGTCGTCGAAGACCAAGCTGTTGGAATTGTGCTCGTCACTGCCAACGGGATCATTCGGCTCGTAACACGCGGCCAAGTTTTCCAAGCCGCCACCACCGGCGTTCTCCTTCCCTCCGACTCCGGCGTCAACAACCAGAGGTAGTATAGGATGGCGAGCATCCCGACGAAGGATGACGGGCGTCTGAGGCAGATAAGGCGCGGCACTTGCCGTGGCGGCACTAGTCAAATTCTTGACCGCAATCGTGTACTCCTTGCATACCTGTTAGAGAGAAGGTGTAGTCGTGGCGTCAGGTACCCATCTAAAGGGACAATGGGTCAAAGGCGAACAGGTAATGCACTCGGGCTACCAAGGGCAAACTGTATGCCACTTCAACTTGCCCGATTCTTCAAGGCTTGCACCTTTCAACACGCCTCGGAGTCAGCAGCGGGGGGAAAATTCATTCACATTCGAAGTGCTCTGGAGGCGGCCAGGAAAGGGCACCGGGACACCCACTGCTGCAATAGCGTGGTGATTCACGCTTGCTTGCTCTTCGCGGGCATCCCAAAAAGAGGGTGCTGCTTATCTTTGCGAGCCTGCAAATACATGCTCAATGAAGCTTCTCTTGGATTGCCAAGCGTTGCCCAGATCTGCACATTGTTCCCCAAACAAACGTTTTCGAGCTTTGTAGACGGTTGCAAACATGATGTCAACCCCCCCTCCCCGCAAAATCTCATACAAAATAAATGGGCCTCACCGAGTGAAAAACTTCGCAGGCCACGACATGTTCAACGCCACGCCGCCGTTTCGTTGCTGCTTTCGGCCGCGCCACCGCCAAGGCGAACCACAGCGCATCCCTTAGCTCATCCTTCACCCCATCCTTGGACCTGGCCGCTAAGTAATCGGCAATCTCGGACTCGATACAATCCCAGTCCTTGCCGGATACCTGGCGGGTGTGCGTCTCTCCAAGCTTAGCCGCAGCAGCTTCGCAAACAGACTGCACGGCCTTCGCCGCAGTCCAGGAGGGGGGTGGGGAATGGGAAGCAAGTTAATCATAAAAAAACAGATAGCTGTGTCGGGGAGAACCTCCATTTCGAGCCGACCGTAAGCGGCCCATCGCGCTCGCCCCCCCGATTCATCAAGATCATGTTAAAATATTGGATAATGTGCCACAAGAAGGGGCGAACACGTTGGCAAACTAAAAGCTACCCATTGGGGCACGTGCGGGGCATTTGAGTCTTATCATTTAACCTGAAGAAGCCACACGGGCAAAGCGGAGCTTAAACGAGCGACATCGATCGCATGGCCTACCTCGCGTAGCTCCTCCAACTCACTGTCAGACGCAATCCAAGTTCTCCCTCTTGACACGAACAGACTCAAGGGTGAGACATCCGACCCAACCCCGACGCGACCAGCGCGCAGAGCTTCAACCATCACCGTACCGCCGCCCACGAAGGGATCTGTACGCAAGTCGCAAGACGCAACGTGGACAATCGGTGTTTATACAGGCATGAGTGTATGGCAGAGGCAACACAGTACGGAACAAAAGGCGCCAGGTGGATACGGGACTTACATCATCCTATGGCAGGACCCTGGAAGGTGGAACCGATACTGGTGAATACAAAGCCGGGTGTAAATCATGCTGCTCCAGTGTCCCTGCTGTGAATGGTGAGTGCCTATCAAATACCGAGGGACGGTCGCAATCTTGGCCACAACGCCTGCGTGGAGGCGATCAGGAAGCCTTTTGAGCAGGGCGACTACCATGCTGGCCATTTGCGCGGCAAAAGATTCTCATGTCTCTCACCTAGAACGGATCTTCCCTTCAATACGGTCTCTAGAAGATGATGCGCCGTAGCCGGCTGCATGCCCGCCGGATAGGGGAAAAATGCGTGAGTAAGAACAGGTAATTCCTGTGTACGTGTATCAGGGGAAGTTTGGGGAAGCATGGTGGAGAAGCATGGGCAAATCAGTGCCTTTCGTTGACGGGTAGAGCCTGGTGTGGCCTCACGATACATTGGCCAAAGAGCGATGGGTAATCTAAACTTGGCCTCGCGGGCGGCTCATGATCTTCCATTGTCTACGTGGAAGCGCCGTCAAACATCAATTCTTCCATACAAGTGTGAATGGTGTCGCTTCGTTGAGTGTGTCGCGTCAGCCTAAAAACTCTTGACAACTCTGACGATCGTCTCGAGAGTCCAAAGAAACAAAAAGTAGCGAAACTCGAAGCATTCACCTTCGGCGTGTAGGGAAAGCCGAAAGACCACTGCAGCCTCAACCCCTCCTCGAGTGCCTCTCTGATCTCTGGGGCGCCCTGACTTTCTGCCAGCACCGAGCCTGATGTGAGCATGGTGTCGTACCGATATTCCTGCAATAGACGAACAAAAACTTTCATAGGGGCATGTGATGACGTACATTGTCGCTGGAAGCGGTTTGCGGAGGGTTGAATGATGTCACCCCCACCCCCCCAGAACGGACGGCCGCTCTTTGCACTGTAAGTTCTTAGGGAAGACTCTACCAACATGACGTGCCGGGTCGGGACTTGGGCGGTGATCTCGACCACGGTGCAGCAGCTCCAATGGTGTTCGTTTTGGAGCTCTGGGTTGCCGGTTCGAATCTCTCGGGGGAAAAGAATGAAAAGTCGGTACGTGCATGCACAGGTAGTGCGAGTGACCACAACTTGAGGGATTGATCTGCTTGACCGTTCCTGCACGCGTTCAAACGATGAAAACATTCCCCTGCGTGAAACAAGCATCGCAGGGGGCAAGTAGAGAAAATATTTTACCTCCAGTGTTTTACCTTTCTCATGTGTGACCTCGGCTGGTGTGAGACGCATATAACGAAGGTGCAGACTGGCGCCAGAATCGATGGGACGAAACAACTCTGGGCCTTTCGGCGCGAACATGGCGTGGGGTACATTTTGGAAGTCTAGAATACGAAGTAATTTATCAATCGTGTGTCATGGATTGCTGATACATCTTCGTACCAACTTGTTTCCGGCATCTAAACTCACCAAACCACGTGTTGCATATATATGCATGCATGCATACCAAATATAAGACGAGTCCTCGGGTGGTAAATGGCAGCCACAGTGTACCACAAAATACGCTCAGAAAATCCCCGACACACGCGGGTTTCGCCTGCTGGCGGGGTAGCAAACCTCACGGCTCCGCCCTCCTTTTTCTCTTTTTTTCCTCCCATAATTGGACTCTGTCGTCTGCCCCCCTGACCGCCATCCTCCACTTCTACAAGCTAGACGACCCAACCGGGGTTACATAGGAGGGGGGGTTTGGACCCCCTCCTGGGATTCCTGCCTGAGATATTTTTATCGCGAGCAGGGTACAGCAACCCCTTCTCTCGTAACTTATAAAGTCGATCAAGATTATTACAGTCGACCCCGCTTTAAGGACGCTCGCGTTAAAGAAACTCCCCGCTTAGAGAAAAATGTAGCGTTCTGAAGGAAAGCGGTGTTTGGTGGAGGCGTGCCGGAAGTCGACTTCAAGGGGATAGAGCTGAAGCGTCCCCTGGTGGGGGAGCGAACGCTCGTGCAGTCTGTTTGCGTTCGATTGGACAAGCACATCAAGAAAACACCACGAGGTAGTGCCCAGCACGGAGAAGAGTTTGGACGTAGGGCTTGATCGATTTTTCGATGGCTGCTCCCTCCAGCGCCGTCGGTCAAGCGCAAGCTGCAGCCGCGCTCGCAGCAGAAGAACAAGCCGCAGCAGCAGCGGCCGCAGGGGAGGAGCAGCCGGAGGCAGCGGCGGCAGCAGCGGCACAAGCAGCGGAGGCAGCGGCTGCACAAGTAGCGGCGGCAGCAGCAGTGGTGGTGCATCCTCCTCCCCCTCCCGTCAACCAAAACCCTGAGGTGAACGTGGGAGGAGACCAGCCCGCCGTGAATCTCAACGCAGTCCTCCAGCAACTTTTGGCTGGTCAACAAGCGCAGGCTGTCTTCAATGCGAACATCGCGCAGCAACTGGAGCAATTGCATCAGCAGCAACCACCGGTCGCCGCCCCGTTCGCTGGCCAATTCCTGGCGGAGCCTGCGGGAGGAGTTCTACACCCCCTCCCGGCCATCGGAGGAGTTCCGCACCCCCACCCGCCCGCTGCTGCTGCCCCGGCTCGCGCGGCCGCGCCCGCCGGCCTGTCGGAGGGCGCGAAGCTGGCGGCCAAGCTTCAGGCGAATTTGTGGGCCACGGACGCGGCCACACCCAAGTGGTTCATCATTCGCGGCGGCTTCCATGTCGGGCGCGTCATGAACAAGGAGCGGCTTACCCTAGCGACTAGAAAATTCGCTCTCATCACCGACAAGGCGGCCGCGCAAATCTCTAAATTGACGGACTTTGCGGCCGAGCACTTCTTCACCAAGATGCCAGACGGGGTGCTGCCCACGGCAATGCCGCCGCAAATGCATATCACGGTGGCGGTGAAAGTGTTTTTCGCAGCTATCGAAGCCGGCATGGGGGGGGCGGATGCTCTCTGCACGGAGCGCGTGAAGAGCCTGCACCGGGAATTTCTGGCGGTCGAATCTCAGCTCTCAGCGTACCTTACGCTCCATTTCGTGGAGCTGGCCGCGTTCCCGGCGAAGACCCGCGACACTGTCTTGGCAGCGTACAACATTGGTTTCAACGACTTTTTCCACGATCTAGCGGCGCGGGGCGAGGACTTGCTGCAGGAACATAGCAACGGCCCCCCAACGTCGGCCTCCGTCATCAGCATGGAGTCGCCGAAGTTCACGAAGCTAAAAAACCTGATCAAGGAGGAAGACTCTAATTCCCTCGTCGCGAGGTCAAAGTCATGGTCCGCGGAGAAGACGGCCCCGCCCACCCCCGCCGCCGCATCTGCCGCCGCCGCCTCCGCCGGTAAACGGAAGAGTAGCGGCGGCGCTTCGTCATCGGCGGGGACGGCAAAGAAACGAGCTCCAAGCAGCGGGGTCTTTTTCCAACCCCCTGACCACGTGTGCCGGAACTGGTGGTTCTCCACCGACTGCCACCGCCAAGTGTGCTCTTTCGAACACATCTGGGGCGGAGCCTTTGGCGGCGCCGGCGGGGGACAGCAGCGTCAACAGCGGCGGGCCCCGGCGCAGCAGCCGCAGAACCCCCAGCAGCCCCTACAACAGCCTCAGCTACAGCCTCACCCCCAGCAGCAGCAGCAGCAGCAGCAGCAGCAACAACAACAGCAGCAGCAGCAGCAGCAGCAGCAGCAACCGCCGGCGCAGGCCGCCAACGGAGGGGGGCGGGGACAGCAGCAGCGAAATGTCGCCCACTACAGTGTGATGGCGGGCGGCGGCAGGGGAGGAGGGGGGGGGCGCGGGAGCGCCAACTTTGGCCGCGGGGCCGGGGCCGGGAGCGGGACTTGACGGGGCGGGCTCTGCCTTCAGGCAGAGCCGACATCAGGAGGGAGGGGGTCTCCAGCGGGAGCCGGTACCCTCTTCGCAGACATCGGGAGATCCGTCGGGGTTCCCGGTGTCTCCACACCTGGGTCTGTTTCGCCGACCTGTTTTTACGGTGAGCAAGGGTCGGTACCGCTATCCTTTGGGTTGGCACTAGAGAGAACCGCAGGGACAGTCGCTCACAGAGCCGCAGGTTCAGATGTTCAGTGCAATCACAATTCAGAGTCCGTACCAGCCAGAACCGCAGGGACAGACGCTCTCGGAGCCGCAGGTCCGGATGTTCAGCAAACACACGCCCACCAATTCGCCGTAGTAGGAACCGCAGGGACAGATGCTCACGGAGCCACAGGTCCGGATGTTCACGGCTTCCACAGCTCAGAGTTGGCACTTGTAAGAACCGCAGGGACGGATGCTCACGGAGCCGCAGGTCCGGATGTTCAGTGCAAACACACCCACAACGCAGAGTCCGCCGTAGTAGGAACCGCAGGGACAGATGCTCACGGAGCCACAGGTCCGGATGTTCACGGCTTCCACAGCTCAGAGTTGGCACTTGTAAGAACCGCAGGGACGGATGCTCACGGAGCCGCAGGTCCGGATGTTCAGTGCAAACACACCCACAACGCAGAGTCCGCCGTAATAGGAACCGCAGGGACAGATGCTCACGGAGCCACAGGTCCGGATGTTCACGGCTTTCGCAGCACAGAGTTGGCACTTGTAAGAACCGTAGGGACGGATGCTCACGGAGCCGCAGGTCCGGATGTTCAGTGCAACCTTGTCGCAAATGGAACACTCACAACGCCAAACGAGAAAACCAGTAGCTTCAGCAGGCTCCCAAAAATCGGGGCTCGTTGGGATCACGGGTCGGCTCGATGGCCTCGATATGGAGGGGTTTCGAGTGATAGGTCGCAGAGAAGCTCTCGATGGCACGAACAAAAAGAAGCCCTCAACAACCCAGAACTCGATCAGACAGAAAGAGAGCGCATCCTCTACCTTCTCGCAAAAACGGGAACGAGCATGATGCGCGAACACGGAGGACGCATAGGCGACGTAGCGCGCTGCTTGGGTGGTAACATGGTGACCCCCCCAGTAGACCCCGCAGCCGTCAGAGACTATTTCGGAAGGCGGAAGGGGTTTCCACAAATCGAAGAACTGATGACTATCATTACGGGGGGCGTGCCGGTTATCACCGAGACCTCAAGCACAGACTTAGAGCGTGCGCTGCGTTACGGTAATCACTCCTCAGCAGACGGACACCTGCCGTTACTTTGGGAAAAACTTGGAAACGATGTACGCAGGGAAAGGTGCCTGGTGTTGGAGAAAACTTCAGCTCACGAGATCCCTAACCTTAGAGTCTCGCCTGTCGGGGTGGTGGTGACGCACAAGCCTAGAGTGATTAACGACCTCTCGTTTAACCCAACAGACAGAACAACAAAGGGGGATCTCAACGAAGACACTAATGCAGATACCATTCCGCCGTGCCTGTGCGCCGGAGCCTTGCCCGGTTTCCTAACCGCGTTAGTCAGCCTGCGAGCCAAATGCCCGAAGCTACGCCTGCTCATGGCCACCACCGACGTGAACGATGCCTTTCGCAACGTCCGGATAAATCCAGACCAAGCACACAACTTTGGCTACACCCTAGGAGACTTGCTGGTGGTGGACTTGAGACTCCCGTTTGGGTGGACGGGATCCCCTGGACATTTCGGAGTCACGGCGTCGGCGGCTGAACACGCACACCGCAATACCAACCTAAGCACGGCACAAATTCTTCCAGAAGGAGTAGACATGATGAAGCATGTGAAGATTGTGGATAGGTGGGAAGAGGGAGAACCCACGCCGGTACCCAGCGATGTCGTCATTCGGCCGAGTACAGGGGGCGAGCTGAACAGCCCTTTCGAGACTTGGGTTTATGTCGACGATCACGCACTGCTCAGAGCACAACTTTCCGATACCGACCGTTCTGCCTTGATCGCCTCCCAGTCCCTCGCCTCCGATTACGTACGTGCGTTCGGTCACGAAGCTGGAGAGACGCCTATCCTCGCCCCAAAGAAGAGTTCGGACTGGGATACCAAACTTGAATTTCTGGGGTTTACCATCGATTCTCACGCCCTCACTATCTCCGTGCCAGAAAAGAAGGCGCAGGCACTAAAAACAGCCCTGGAAAACGAGTGGCCAAAAGATAGGCGGCAAGCGACCGCACAAGAGGTTTTCAGCATAGCTGGAAAACTTTGGAACATGACGTTTGTGATTCGAGCTGGAAAGTACTTCGTCTGGCGGCTCTTGCGCCTTACAGGCTTGCACACTGCGAACGGTAACCAGAACCACATCGTAGATCTCGGGAAGGAGTTCCACGCTGATCTAGAGTTTTGGCGATGGGCGATCCAGCATGAGCTCGTAGCTGCGGGGGAATCCCTGAGCGCCCCGTGTTTCGTACAACTTGCGCGCCCACCGAAGAGAAAATACTTATCCGATGCCAGCTTCGACGCCATAGGCGGCTACTGCACAGAACTTCGAACGTACTGGAGGTACGACCTCCCACTAGACTTTTCGGCAGAACTAAAACGCAAGGCCGCGTGCCGCGAGACGAGTAGCGTGACGATCAATCTGCTTGAACTTGTCGGGATGGTCATGACGGCGTGGGTGATGCACGAATTAGTGGGGGACCGCCCAGAAATCAGGGGTGACCCGATCCTCATGCGCGGAGACAACTTCGCTGCAGTTTCCTGGTCAAACCGATGCGGGGGCGCGAGAGACAAGCGCGCCGGCCTCATGATGAGAACAATGGGCCGGTTAGAAATCAGGGGGGGTTGGAGATACGACGCAAAACACATCCCGGGTGTTGAGAACACACTAGCGGACGGCATCTCCCGATGGCCCCGCGCAGAGCTAGCTGAGAAAGTGAGGCAGCTGACTAACACAGATGACTGGCGCGAACAGTCGATCGGGGAATCAGGAGAACGCCTCTGCGAGATAGTACTGCAGACAAAGAACATTACCACTCGCCACGATAACATGTTGTGGAAACTGCTTACCGCCGAACAACCCTCACACGCCCTCACGAGAACCGTACCCCTTTCCTAAAAATCACTAGTCATCCACTCGTACTCGCTGGATGCCACAGGAACAGGGAATTGGGGGGGGGGAGGACGGAGGAGGCGACGGCTTTGGTGGATGCAATGGTGCAAGCGTCCGTCGGGAGCGCCACGCACCAGCTCTATGCTGCTAAGTGGAAAGCGTGGACGAAGTTCATGAGTAACAAGGGGATGGGCCCGTGGTTGCACCTCTTGGATGCGGCGGTCGTTATTAATACGTTGCTGGAGTTCATGGCCTGCCGTTTGTTCGCTTTCGACAATCAGCTTTCCACGGTGAGGGGGTACCTGGCCGCTGTAAAGTTTTTCCACAAGCTGCACCTAGGGTGGGAGGTACCAACTTCTCACTGTTTGATTGTGGCGGCGGGGAAGGGGATAGCAAGAATTCGCGGGGGCGTCGGAAAAAAGGCCCAAGTAAGGTTGCCCCTCACATGGTCGATGCTAGCCCAGGGTTACCTCACTGTCTCAGAGTTCAAGGAAGGAGGGCGAGTGATGTGGCTGGGTCTAGCCTTGACCTATTTTCTGCTTTGCCGTGCGTCCGAATTATTCGCGTACGCGGACGGGTTAGTGCACCCGGAATTCTGCCTGACACGCAACAGTCTGACTTTCTACCGGGGAACAGAGCGGGTGGGCATAGAGGACCGAGCCCTGGCTGATTCCGTGCAGGTGGATTTCATTGCATCGAAAGGGGATCAGAACAGAGATGGTCGTTCAATCACCCGCGGGCGTAGCCCACTAGGACCCGACGGGGAGGTACCGGTAGGCGCGTTCGAGGCGGTGGTGGCTATCCTGGACGTGCACCCCGAACTCCCGGGAAATGCACCTCTGCTGACCAGGCAGACGCCGAGCGGTTGGCGAGTGATTACTAGAACCGAAGGGGTAGCAGCGTTGAGAGTGATGGTGGAAAGCATTGGCTTGAACCCTGCACACTTCGCGTTGCACTCGGGAAGGATCGGCGCTGCAACTCAGATGGCAGCGCAGGGCCTGTCGGCGTTGCAAATCCAACACGCCGGCAGGTGGAAGTCACAGGCGTTCATGGTGTATGTCAGGGATACGGGGGCGGAGGGCGCCAAAGAGGTGTCAAGGGCTCTAGCGCAGAAGGGAGAAGGAAAAGTAAGCAACGGCCTCTGCCTGCGAAATGGAGAATGAGAGTCAAGTAGCCTCCGCTGGGCGGGGGTTACTTTTATGCCAGGTTGGCAGAGTCCGTAAAAATTAGGAGAATACCGTGAGACGTGTAGAAGAATGGTACCCACGATGAGATGGGGTATGTATTTTTTGAGGTCAACACGGAGTACGTTTTTCCCGATTAACCTCGGCATAGGGTAGAAAAATAATACCAGAATTCTTGAGCAATAACCAAAATGTAGCGTTCTGAAGGAAAGCGGTGTTTGGTGGAGGCGTGTCGGAATTCGACTTCAAGGGGATAGAGCTGAAGCGTCCCCTGGTGGGGGAGCGAACGCTCGTGCAGTCTGTTTGCGTTCGATTGGACAAGCACACCAAGAAAACACCACGAGGTAGTGCCCAGCACGGAGAAGAGTTTGGACGTAGGGCTTGATCGATTTTCCCACCCGCCCACCCTATCGCTCAAGAGAGGGGGGAATCAGGTTGCAAAAAGTCGAAACATAACCAACATAGTGTCCATGTTTTTGTTTTTTTGTGTTGTTGGTGTCTGTCTTTCAGTTTGAATTTTTCGGAGAATGAGAGTCAAGTAGCCTCCGCTGGGCGGGGGTTACTTTTATGCCAGGTTGGCAGAGTCCGTAAAAATTAGGAGAATACCGTGAGACGTGTAGAAGAATGGTACCCACGATGAGATGGGGTATGTATTTTTTGAGGTCAACACGGAGTACGTTTTTCCCGATTAACCTCGGCATAGGGTAGAACAATAATACCAGAAATCTTGAGCAATAACCAAACTTGTTTTGCTGAGCACCAGGGGGCCCGGCAGAACATATGATAATGGGTTATCCCATTTTTTCTGCCGCGCACCCCCCTTTTTTGTGTCCTGCGGGCCTGCGGGCCGCTCTTTGCAAGAACCACGCACCACAGTGAGTGCAGAAGTAGCGACGCACAGACAGCAGAAGTAGCGAGCGGTCTGCTGCTGCAGCTGCAGCTGGGTGTTGGTATGGATAGATTCCTCCCATCTACCTACCGCCGGTCCATCTGATGCCGCCAAAAAAAAAGTCGTGCAAAACCTCGTCTCTCACCGAGGGCGAGGGTATCTCTCGCTTGGAAGACGTTCGATCCTAAAGTTAAGAAACGTCAAAATCGGTTCAAGTCTTAATCCCTTTTTTTGGGTCAAAGTACCGGCCCAAGTCGTCCATATTCAAAAGTGGCATATTTTCGTCCTTTGGACTGTCGCATCCTCCCGATTCTCTTGTTCCTCATGAGAGGTGGTGGAGAGTGCCATCAAACCCGTACAACAGCGGAGAGCACTCTGGTTGTCCGCAATGTGTGGCAGTACTACAGTACAGCACTCACTGTGAACAGCAGAGGCGCGGGGGGTGCCCCCTAGAAAAAAAAATGCACTTCTGTTCAGCTTTAGAAGGGGANATGAGAGGTGGTGGAGAGTGCCATCAAACCCGTACAACAGCGGAGAGCACTCTGGTTGTCCGCAATGTGTGGCAGTACTACAGTACAGCACTCACTGTGAACAGCAGAGGCGCGGGGGGTGCCCCCTAGAAAAAAAAATGCACTTCTGTTCAGCTTTAGAAGGGGATGGGAGCACCGCAGATTTCTGATGTCATGGGGGTATCACACCATCATGTTTCTCATTGGGGCGTTTCTTACGTTGTGGCCGAGATTGAGCTATATTCTTAGGCCCTTTTATCTTATTTTTCGTTCAAGCTTGAGCCTTTTTCCTGAACAGAATGTTTCGTAACTACGGGCGCTATCTGTATTTGTACGCGAAGGGAAGGGGTGGCGAGTACCGTGAGACGCAGTACATTCTGTCGAAGACCGTTCATTCGTTTACTCATGAAACTCAACTGAGCCGTAGAGCCAAGCCGCGGTGAAAGGTTCAGGGAACTCTTCGCGATACATATGTGGGAGGAAACGCCATCAGGGTAGCTGTTGGTCTCCGCCGGGACAGACTGTATGTACTGGTGTTCCTCGGTTCGACGCTGAAATACGCTCGTTTTTTTGTTGTTTCACAAGAATGAGATAACCATAGGTCTACTTGGACTTTCCTTCTTCTTCCGCGGCCGGCTACAATGCAGTACATTAGTTGGCCAAGTACAAACTGGTGTATGCTCCCGTGTGTGTTATGTAGTTGTATCGCGTCCCCGACTGCTGTACATCTCATTTTAAGTTTTGTAAATATATTCGACGTCAATAAACGGTTGTCGGTTGTCTCGGCGATGCTGACCTTTCGTACCACCCCCTTCCTTAGCAACAGACGCGTAGTTTGAGGTATCGCATGCCTCCATTGACCCCCGGGATGGTGAGCTATCGTCCCCTGAATTTTAAGGACGCAACCCCGCGTTAAGGACGCTTTTTCGGGAAATCACGTGCGTCCTTAAAGCGGGGTCGACTGTAACAACGAGCTTTGCAGCGCGTCGCTTCCAACGTAGATCAGGATTTATTTAGTGAGAGAAATAACGCTCTGCCGGGACTCGAACCCATGACCTGGCCCGCAGCAGGCTACGAGGGTACCCACTGGACCGGTCGCCCGCAGCAGGCTACGAGGGTACCCACTGGACCATCGGGGCGACCGGCTTCGGTAGTAGACTCAATACAAATACTACTGAAGTGCATTTCTTTTTGTATGGTCTTGACTTGGCGGCAGTCATGGGGTGGCGTGGAGGAAATGGTATTTCAGGGTGTTGACTTACGTTGCGGTAAGGTGTTCGTCTAGACTACAGCAGTACATACGTACAATACTGCGGATGTACTGCTGTACGTTTGAACCACTGAAAACAACAAGGTCATCGTCGGTCTAGACCACGTATGCTGATGCATCACGTACTCGCCTGCTGCTGAAGCATCGTCGTAAGAGCTCGTCTGCCTGCTGCAACGATTCGGAAAATCCCATGAGACGTCCTCATATCGACGAGAAATAACAGAGGCGGTGTAGGATGCAGGATGAACAACTGCGCTGGAAGTAGTGTAGAGTGCGCCGGCTCCTGGCGAGGGAACACGTTTTTGTTTTTTGAAATAGCGCGCCATACCTCCGTATTTTTGTTTGTGAGCCCCCTTCCAACCTCCCTCGACCATCGACTGGACTCCTGTGTTTGCAACATACCCATCACCTGAACACCTTGGCATTGTCCTGAGTTGTGGCCCGCGACGTTTACTCCTGGATTTGCGCACGAAACAATAGAACGAACAAGGTGAGGCGGCTGTGCCGGGTGACCGCCTCTTATTCCTGCTTGCAAAATGGAACACGTGCGCAGGACCAAAATGAATCTGTTCAATTATCGGAGAGACAGACGACCGGGCAGCATCAAGAGTAGAGCAGGTGACGTGAGACGTGACAACTACAGCAGTACTACTGTACGCAAAATATAAGGGCGTTTGGCCAGGGTGGTTGGGAAGCCTATACCCCTCCCGTGGAGATGGCTGGACCGTCCCGCGGCAAGCAAGATTGAGTAATGACATGGGGAACCTTTGTCGCCGTTCTTGTTGCCAGTGATGACGCGCCTGCTGCTGTATCCTCGATTCATGTGGCTGTCCTGGCCTCTTCACCTCTGTTTGGCACGTTGTAGCAGCAGCAGCAGCAGCAGCAGCACTGTTACTGCAGTGGGTGCCTGTTTCGTGCCCCGCTTTGTACAGCGAGACAATCGGCTTTGGTTGTGTCCAGGGGACTGCTGTGATCATGCCATCGTTCTGTCCGTACAAGATGTGTAGACTATTTGTAGTTGAACATCAACTTGGACAGCAACTTGTACAGTACTTGCCTCCCTACGGCAACAACCAGGGTTTCTCCCCGAGATTTCGTCGCTGACCCATATTGTACGTTTTTTTGTTCTGTAGATACCGACTTGTGATACTTGTACCTATGCAGTGTTTTTGCGGTTAGCACATCAGTAATGCCAGAGGTGGCACCTCGGGCATCATTGATAAGAAGCTGTGTGTTTCCCGACGCCCGTCGATGTCACGCCCAACACCCACCCAACACTCACCCAACACCCAACACAACACCCAACACAACACCCAACACCCCCCCTACGTGCAATCGTGAAATTGACACAAGCACTCTGAAGGACCCACTATTATAAGCATAGCTGCAGGGATGCTCTCGACAATCAACTACTTTCTGTTTTGTGGAAACATGAATGCATACTTGTGAGGCATATCAGTACCTCGATGGTGCCGTTGTCGGGACGACTTGCAGAGTGCCGTCGGCCCTGAATATTTCCAGGTTGGTCTTAACGGTGCTTTACTGATGGTCGGGCATTTTCGTACTCCGTATATACGTTACCTTCACTACATGAGGACCCCCAACTGTACTTGTGGGCGAAACGATGTCCGTGTGGAATGCCTGTTCGCCGACACGCACGCCTTGAAGTGTTGCTGTGTTGTAATCCCACTTGCTCAATGGCAACTTCATGCTGCAGAAAGGGAGAGAAGAGAGTCTTGACCCATGTCTCTGTCCAAGCTAGGGCTGGCCGGTCGTCGGGCGTTCCATGCGGCCGCTCCCCGCGCTGCTCGCATCCTCTGCCTGGACAACATCGACCCGGTTCGTTGAGTTGCCTTGGGAACAAGATCTTCTGTTGCATTGCTTGAAAGTATACTTACTTGCTGTTCTCCAGCGTTAATTTTTTTATGAAAAACAGGCTTCGTCCCAAGGGGAACAGAAAGGCTGAAAGGCAAAAACACTAGGAGGCACTGCACGTGTTTGTATGGCACACGCAAAGAGAAGTTTTTCGAGCTATTTCTTTCGAGAGCCAGGAACCTGTTGTCCAGAGTGTCGGAAAAGCACAGCTAGTGGGGTTGAGGAGAGCTCACTGTAGTTGGCTCGGAATGCATTTTGTGTGATGTCTCGTATCGTCTCGTCTATATCTACACTATTTCTATGCCAACAGTATGTCCATGTCTATGTCCATGTCTATGTCTATGTCTGTGCACACCGCGTACCTTGGGTTTACAGCAAGGGCCGTCCTGTCCTGTCGAACGCATGTGCTGCTGGGCAGGTTTGCGTGGACATATTCCAAGAGCGGGGTCACCACGCCGACGTGAAGAATAACCTTTCCGTGGAGCAGCTTCACGGTATCGTCGGCAACTACGATGGCATGGTCATTCGCTCCGCCACCAAGGTAAGGAAGGAAATTCTTCAAGGTACCAAGAAGGTAGAATACCATGTGCACCACAGAAGATAAGAATATGAGGACAAGTGTGAGCCATTTGTTGTTCCATGCTCCACCTGACAATTAAATCACCAAACGGTGTGCACCTGTGGCTGGTTATGTGGTTGTGACAAAGGGCTACCGGTGGCACGCTTTGACCGATTGAAGAACCATTTAGAATTCATGATGTACTGTCCAACATACACGATGTTTCGATTTCACTCACTAAAGGACTGCCCGACTGACTTGCGTGCTGGTCGATGTGACGAATGTTGTGTCTTTGATCAACGAACCGAACAGCCAATTGTACCTCAACCTTGCACTAAACCGCGCGGGCGCTCTTTGTTCATATAGGCTACCCCTGATCTCCTGGCCAAGGCGACTAACATGAAGGTCATCGGCCGCGCGGGCGTGGGCATCGACAACATTGACGTTGCGGAGGCCACCCGAAAGGGGGTGCTGGTCATGAACACCCCTGGGGGGAACACCGTTTCGACCGCCCAGCTGGCCATATCTTTGCTCTGTTCAGCAGCCAGGCAAGGACGTCGTTCCATTTGTTTCTGTGATACAGTATTTTGGAGAATCACCGAGCAGTTCGGCAATCGTTTGACCTGAGATTACAGCTACGTTTGTGTGGTCTCGCCATTTTTTGAGCTGGGGCTCAGAGCGCGGGCCTTTGCAACAAGATACTGCATCCACCTGCCATCCCTGGCGCAGTGTGAGAGCTCGAAATTCTCTAAGCCGAGTCGATATACATAAATCTATTCTCCGGATTCGGTGTTTGAACACGACACTTGTAGATTGGTCTTCACGGCCTTGCAAGTGTGCGATTTTCCTGTGCCGCAGGTGCACGCCATGCGCCCCGACTGCCTGCCTCACGGACCTAAGCGACGACCACATTTTCATGACGACTTGTCCATGTCCACGACAACAGGAGGATCCCTGAAGCGGACATCTCCATGAAGGCTGGCAAGTGGGAGCGGAAGAAGTTCATGGGGCAGGAGCTGAAGGGCAAGACGATTGCGATCGTCGGGTGTGGGAGGATCGGGCAAATGGTGGCCAAATGGACACAGGGCTTCGAGTGAGTGTACTTTACGTACGCTATGTAGGCACGCCTCACCGGACTTGCTGCTTGCACGGTTTTGGAGAATTATTTTGGATGGAAATGGATTGAATGTCCCCAAATTTGCTACTTGTATCATTGAAACCGTTCACAGTGATGACCAAGCTAGTTTTGGCCAAACAAGCACGGCAAGGTTGTGATTGTATGCGAAGATTCTTTTCGAAGATATGTTCGTGTCGACTCGAAGTTCAGTGTGCAAATACGAAAATCCTCTCTTGAAGCCGTCTGGTTGTACTTTTTGATTCTAGTCCTGAACGCGACGCCCAGACTACTTCCGTTTTCCATATATGTTACTGCTGTACTATTTTTCGGGGGCACGTCTATCTCAAATTGATTGCCTCGGTTGCGTGAAGTCAACAAGCGTTTGCATTGGAATTTGACCCGTTGATGTACGATACTGCAATCTGTTGGCGTGCCGTCTACACCACACCTTGCCGCCAACTTGGTGTATCTTTTCCAGCATGGAAGTTATCGGTTTCGACCCTGCCCTTCCCAAGGACGCGGCTGCGGAGCTTGGTATTCAGCTGATGGACCTGCCCGATGTCTGGGCTAAGGCGGATTTCATTACTCTGCACACGCCCCTCACACCCGATACCCAGGACCTTGTCAGTGATGAATCCATCGCCCAGGTGAGCTGCTTTTATTCCACCATTTTGGACAGACCTCCGTTGATGACGAGAACGGAGATTCGTCTAAGTGGCGGAGTGCTGTTGCCGGGATGTGTTGTGTGATGTGCTGTGTCGTGTCTTGTCTTGTCTTGTCTTGTCTTGTGTTGTGTTGTTTTGTGATATGCGCCGCAACTCGGGCCGTAAAATGAATCTCATTGTCGTCTGGTAAAACTTTAGTAGTGGACGTATGGTAGTTACCATGGTATACGATTGGTCGTACGGAGAGACTTCGTATTTGTTTGCCTTAATTATCGTTCTTCCCTTTCTAAGCGACATACGTGCAATAAAAGGAGTAGTACTATATACTATATACTGCCTGGTACCAGGTACTGCGACAGCCTACCCTGGTGGTGGACGGGAAAACATGTTACGGAATCTGCGCGAGCTGACTGTTGGTACACTCGTTGTTTCTGGCACCAGATGAAGGATGGCGTGATCATCGTCAACTGTGCCCGTGGTGGCATCATCAACGAGGATGCCCTTCTCAAGGCGCTCAATTCCGGCAAGGTGAGGTCCTGGATAGTAGCAGGAGAAGCACATTGCCTAGCTGCAATCGAATACAAATAGCAGAAGCAATGTCACCTATATGCAACTGGTGAAGGCATGGCAGCAGTGCTAAGGCTAGTTGCCTTCACGACGTACGCAAACATGGTTGTATGCATCGAAGGACGATCCTGGCGAACCATATCGTGTTGATGTTGTGTGTGGCATGCATCGCTCATCGCTCCACTTTGGCGCGCTTAACATCCGTTCTTGATTGGTGAATTTGAATCCTCTACACTTGTACGTGTGCTTATTCTGTAATCCTGCAATAGGTGGCATCGGCCGCTCTGGACGTGTACAGCTCCGAGCCCCCTCCGGAGTCGTCGCGGGAGTTGCTACAGCACCCGAGACTAGTCTGCACCCCTCACCTCGGGGCTTCTACGGAGGAAGCACAGGTGACACCATAACGCCATGCCAGGCTTGTTGGCAAACACGCAGCGGGCCTTGCACATGTTGACTGCGCCTATCATTGCTTTTGGGATCTAGACTCATCGTAAGGGGTAATGCATGCATATGAAGAGCACATGAACCTCGTCAACATGGTGACTGCTAAACGCGGTAGTGTAGAATGCGCAAGACTGAGGCGAAACGATGGAAGAGTGCCTCGCTGAATCACGAAGGAGACATGTCCAACGTGGCAGAGTATCGTAATATAGAGGATCCATGTCTCCTGGTACGTGATGTATTTGTGACCAACTTGTCGGTAGGGTTCCTGCACATTCTAACTGATTCAGTGCTGCTATTGCTGCTGTTGGTACAGCGTCACAAGACATTCAAAATGATCTCGTTTTGTTGAGGTATCACGCGGTGTTTTGGTTGACTGACCGCGAATTCGTGCAGGTAAACGTGGCGCGAGATGTGGCGGTGCAAATGTGCGACACCCTTGAGGGCAAGGCCTACATAGGCGTGGTAAATGTGTCGTACATGGCCGTCGCCAACGAGGTGCGGATATTGCCAACTTGCCACCAGTGATGGGATAGACAATTGCTTGGACTGGAATTGCGTGCTCACGGAGCGAGTGTCGAGGTTTGAAGGTACCCGAACGTGAGGTTTGAATGTTGAAGGTCCGCAAACGTGGCGCCCCAGGCAATGAAACGCCCCCTCATCATGAGTGCAACGGTGTCTACCATCATGTGTTCACTAGGATAACATGGTACTGCAGGTTAAACATCCACCGTTCGAGTTGATAGGATGAGAGAGTGCTCTGCGAGCGAGCCGTTGAGACCGTTCGTTTTCCCCACAGCCCCCTGGTGCGCACCTTAGCCCTACACCCCTGACCTACGTTGTGGATCAGAAGAAATGAACGCTTTAATAGGGGCGATGTGGTAGGTGCCCAAAAGCATACACCTGTGCTTGGGGAATCCTTTCCAATACTCCAGCGGAATCTTACCCCTTGACTGGCACTGATTCGGTCATTCCGTACCTCCCCACCCTCCACCTCATAACTATTCCCTTCCTCCTTCCGTCCCTGCTCCCTTTGCCCCTCTCGCGATGGCTTTGCCGCCCCGCGCTTGTTCAGCCCGCGATGCAACCGTACATGATTCTCGCAGAGCGTATAGGCAAGATGCAAGCGCAGATCAGTTCTAGCAAGGTACGCAGCGTGTGACAGCCTTGACGTGAACCGGTATCTCTGCCGAAAACATTGTTGTAGCCTTTGAAGCCCTCTGAAGCGTCCCCCAAATGTTCCCACCATGTTCTGGATAAGCTTTGACTCGATCAATGCAACTGATGTGTACTTACTCCTTAGGTGGTCAAGGTGGGTCTCCGAACGTATGGTGGCAAAGCCGCGAACATCGAGGCGAATTCTGCTCGCCAGGTGATTTTGGCCACCGTCATGAAGGGGCTCCTGCAGTACACCAAAGAATGCAAAACAGCGCCCAGCTTGATCAACTCGCCTTTCCTGTCTAAGGAAATGGGCATCGAAACAAGCATCGACGACAAGGTGAGTACTAAGCCTCGGACGATGACGATGACTACGACGATGATGATCGCCAACACCCCACAGTGTCAAGTCGGCCGACAAGTAGCGTCACTCATGTTGCTCTGGGACTGTTGGAACGTTGATCGGTGCTCAAGTGCTAGAGTGACTGGTGTTGGCGATGAAACATTCCATGAGTAGGATGGGGTACTCTCGTGTCTAATCGGGCGGAAATCTTGAAAACGACCCAGCCTTCGCGACAAAATTGTCGATCGTTGTTTCCTGTGTGCTGTGTGCTGTGTAGATGTAGGAATGGGTGCGAGTCACGCGCCTTATTAGTTGGGTCATAGATGTAAGTGTTGAGCTTGAAACGTTGTTATGTTGTACTGCTTTTGCCGTGTCGTCTCGTGCTTTGTTGTTTTCCACACAGATCCACGCCGTCCTGGTCAACTCTCCCTACACCAACGTGATCACGGTGGATATCACGCTGGAAGATGGAGAGGTACGTGTGCAAACAGTTCAAACACAAGTTGACCCTGATACAATTTTTTGTGCTTTCTCTCTATTTTGTCATGGCTGTATCCGGTCTACTTGCGCTGCCCACCATCACAGCTTTTTGAGGATGACGGCACATGCTATTGTTGTCCGTTAGACTATGTGCGTCACCCCTGTTGTGGAGAGTACGTACGCTTCCAGTATCACCTCGCGCTTCGAATATCCAGTTTATCACGCACGTACGTTTCATTCAATACTCCCTTGGATGCAGACGCACTCCATATCTGGTTCGGTGTTCGGCGAGGAGCCCAACTTGGTGCAGATCGACAACCACCGAAGTTTCCCGGCCTTCAAACCCGAGGGAACGATCGTGATGTTCAGGCAAGAATTTCAATCGTGTGGGCTCCATCCATCTAAAGTACTGTGTGCCGATTTTGTCGTGTGTTGATACCAGGGGTCCAGAGCCACAATTTGGGCACACACCCAAGCAATCTCGTGGCAAGGACAAGGGCAGCCTTTGCTGCAACACATATGCTGTGTGTCATGCGGCAGCTGCTCCAGTTGTGCCCCCCTTTTTGCTGACCTTTCGGGGCCCCCCCCCCCCCCCCCCCCCCCCCCCCCCCCCCCGTCTCCTCTCCTGTCCTCTCCTCCTGTGGCCAAGTGTCTACCTCTCTTGTTGATCCCATCTCTATCTTCCCTGTATTGAAATATGTTTAGGAACGAAGATCGAGCCGGAGCCGTGCTGCAGGTTCTACAAGAGCTTGAGGCGGCGGAGGTAAACGTCGGCAGGCTAAACGTTGGCCGCCAAGAGGTGAGTGCTCAGTGACCTCTCTCACCTGTTGTCAGTATGGTTCGTTTCACAGCACACGCTCAGTGATTTGTTGCCGTCCAGTGTTGGTCAGCACCGTGCGGGGTACATGTGACGGCCCGGTGAGGTGCATCTAGGTTTTGCGTGGCACAAATTGCGTGTTGAGAAGACTGTTGCATGGAAACTCGTCACTCCCCATACTCGGGATTTATTTTTTGTTGGTTACCCGCACCTTTGGGTTTGGGCGCGCACCATGCGGGCTCTACTTTCGGGTCGAGCACTCGTCAAACGCATCCCGATGAATCGCACGACAGAGAGGTAAACGCAAGCATCTATGCCTTGCTCCACGTTGGCCGCCTTGCCCGCAGCAATTGTAGACTTTGCAACCGGGCAAGTATGTGTGCATAGGAATCTTGATGTCCAGTGCTGGCCCCTCCTCCGTCCTCGTACCGCCGCGCGTTCAGGGCGAGTTGGCCTTGACCATCATGGGTATTGATGGCGAAATCACTCCTGACGTGATGTCCAAGCTTGGTGCACTTTCGGTAAGAATCGCTTGCTGATTTTTGTTGAACGTGTGGGTTGCCATCATTCCCCGTGGTCGTGAGCGCGAGCAAACGCGCTTTTGGTCATCTAGCAAAGCTGTAACCGAGCGAAGATGTGGGCACTTGATGTAACATCCAGAGTGGTACCTGCTTGGCACGTGCGACCCTAGACCGAGCTTGTTCGCAACCAACATTTTCTCGTTGGCAGCGGAACCTCGCGGTCTGTCACTGATTCCCCATCGTCACCTCCCTCGGGTCGGCGGTGCTGCTTCCATTCGCCTTCTACCCACACTCAGGCTGTCCGGGAGGTGTCGGTTGCCAACCTTTCCGCGTAGTCGGCATGTTCGCAGGACTCGGAGCAGACGTGGTTTAGGTGCCCAAAAGGCTTCTTATTGTTGTGTCGATAGGTTCTGCGGGTTTTCTTTGCTGGTACAGTAGGGGAGAAGTTTGGAGCGAGAGGAGCGAGAGGCTTGTTGCGGTGTCCAACTCGTACCGCCGTGCGTTCAGGGCGAGTTGGCCTTGACCATCATGGGTATTGATGGCGAAATCACTCCTGACGTGATGTCCAAGCTTGGTGCACTTTCGGTAAGAATCGCTTGCTGATTTTTGTTGAACGTGTGGGTTGCCATCATTCCCCGTGGTCGTGAGCGCGAGCAAACGCGCTTTTGGTCATCTAGCAAAGCTGTAACCGAGCGAAGATGTGGGCACTTGATGTGGTATCTATCCAGAATGGTACCTGCTTTGCACGTGCAGTTAGTTTAGACCGAGCTTGTTCGCAACAAACATCTTCTCGTTGGCAGTGGAAAATGTCAAGAGAATACAGAGGCTAAAGTAATTAATGCCTTGTTGCGAGTCCCTCAACATTCCTTCCACCAACACATCCGTTTGGACCAACGCACCAACCTCAGAATATCTTGTTGACAGTTGAATCGTAGGACACCCGACTATGGATACGACCATGTTTTTTTCCAGCAACACCTACGGCGGTGTTAATGGGTCGCTTTCAGTCCTCTCTCTTCCCTCTCCCTTTTGTCATACCTACCTTGCCAAATCAAGTGAACTGCTACCCCCCCCCTCCCGTGTAGGTGTAGAAACTACCGCGACGTGGGTTTCTTCCGAAGGCAGGTGTGTACTCCAATTGAAAACTATACATGCAGGAACTACAAGCTTCGGCTCCGCTGACAGGTGATGAACCTTCCCCCGCTCCGAGTTAAAACTCAACCCTCCTTCAAAGCATCGTGTGCTGGTTGTTGCTCTCGACGATGGTGAAAGCGGTGTCATCCCCTGCTGAAGGAACAGTCCCCGTTTCTGCCACCATCTCCAGCTGCAAAGCAAACGATGCAGACAGTGGGTGCCACGGACATAACACGGCAGGATTATGTTTTTCATATCGTCCGCTTGGCAAGACGGCATGCGCGGAAATCTTCACCGGAGTTGATCCGCCTTCTTGTTAAACGGAGAAGAGTTCCGTGTCTGCCTCTCTGCTGCTGCCGACGACTTTCCCGCTACATCTTTCTTTCGTATACCCCCTCCATCTTACCCGGGTGGATCTTTTCTCATGATCTTCGAATGTGACAATTCCCGCGTGCGATGCGTCTGTGCAAACTTCATCTATGCAGAGTTTGAAACGAATCACCAAACTCAACACGGGACACAGCGTCTACGTTCGATGTCTGATCTTCCAACTCACATTGTCATTGGTGTTGATGTCCCCGTAAATGGATCCCGCCGGAGTGTAGCAAAACGCCAGAAGGAGGACGTAAATGTTGAACATCCCGTAGAAGTAAGCGAACACCTTAGATCCGTGCTGAAGACGCGGGAACAGAACACCGGACATAGAGAGTAGGTTGGCATCGTCATACACTTGACACAGAACTTCGAACGACCTCAACCGCACACTGAGATTAACTCTGAACGAAAATGCCGCGCACTCATTGACATCTACATGGCAGCGTCTGCCCAACCATCACCTGGTCCGGTGCAAGGGCTCCAGTGTACACAGCTGACATGGTGCCGACGATGGTAACCAGGGTGATCACCATGATGAAAATGTATTCTGAGTTCATTGACTCGATGTGGGTGAAGCTCCTGAAGACTAGGCCTCCCAGCCACAAGAAGTACAGTGTGGCAAGCAGTAGTCCAACCACCTTCATTTTTCCGTCCAGGTGGGGAAAGGGGTGCAGTTAGAGTACTACCAAGACACCTCCGTGATGCTGAATGCGACGGCTGTGCTGCAAGTTGAAACTCTTGACATTGGTCGCTAAGTACATGCGAAACGAGGCGTGGCGGTAAATAGGTTGTTGCACAGCAATGGAGCGAACGTTGGTTTTTTGAGACGTGTATATCGTACGCCAAGACACGTACAAGTTGGGCAATTGGTCATGCTGCCCAACTTCCAAAGAATGCCTCGTTGTCGGAGTGAAGACGCAGGCGAGTTGTAGCCTTATACAATAAGTCACCTTGACGCCCGTGTAGGTGGAAAGGTCGTCGAAGGTGCTGTAGGACGGGTCCCCCGTTTGCTGCACTCGCACGTAGCTGAAGGGAGGCAGATTTATTTGTGCTAATTCGTCAGTCGCGAAACAAGAATGTGTTTCGAGTTGGCGCATGATATGATCGGGCGGCGTAGGAGAAACAACAACGTTCATGTGCACACCGCAATCAATCAAGACTTAGGACGCCAGTTTCCCACTGGCACATCGAGCAAACCATGCCAAACAACTTACATGTAAGTCAGCACGGTAACGATCCAGATGAGACCAACCAGAACCAACTTCGGCAGGTACTCCAGTACAGTCTTCTTACGGTTGCGTTCCCATTCCAGAGCCGTGTCGGTTCCCTTTCATAAAAAGAGAGAGGTGTGGGCAATATCGGGAGATAGGGGCAGGGCGGCGGGGGCCGCGGGTATGAGGGCTTGGCTCATTTGCACAGCCCGCGGTTAAAAAACAATCAAAAGCATGATGGACGTGGCATCAAATCATGTAAACACGCCAAGAGCTGATAACCCAAGAACGAAACATGTAACGGATTCCAAATGCACATCACCTGCATGTTCCCTGCAGCAAGGTCTCCGAACAGCTCGAGCCAGAAGAACAGCATGAGGGCCAGGAATGTCGCCACAAAAATAATGTACAAACTGAGAAAACATACGACAACCGGACGTGGCGCGTGGAGATTATCCCTCTTGTTGTTCAAAATAGCTCGTTCCTCTTGCCGAAATTACGACGGCAAAAACCCAATAATCAATATTCCGAACATCGTGATATATGAGGGCACACGAGGTCTCAAAAGCTTTACCTGAAGAAGAAGCGAGGGAAAGGAGAAAATATTTGGAATCCAAAGAAGACGTTGTTAAAGAACAGGAGCGACAGCAGCAGCACCCCCACGCGCGCCTGTCCGGCCAAACAAACCGCGCAAAAAAGGTGTAGACGCACGGCAGAAAGTAAGCGGAAAGACGAAGATTGGGCATCGAAGTGGCAATCACTGGCCGCCCTCGGTGGTCGGATAATGGGCAACCCAAAACCTGCTAGAGGCTATGATAGGGGGTAGGATGTCAGCCGAAGGTGTGTTCCACACTTCGTGTGAACCTTGCTCGTGTAGCAAATGAAAAGAGGCGTGCATCGATCTTTCGTGGGAACCCCCCGACTCTCGCAATAGGAGCTCTTTACCTACAACCAAACAAGACCATATAGCAGATAGAGATGTTCGAATATGGTGATGCACAGGAGACCCAAAACTGCAATCAACAGCAGATAGATGCCACTTGAAAGAAGCACTAAAAACAACAAGCTAGATATTGTGATAGCTTCATTCCTGTAGCGATGTGATTTTCATGTGGCGTTACCGGAGCTGGTGTACAACATGCTCAAACCTCTACTTGACGTGGAAAAACTCCGACTCACCTGTTGTCTAGACCAGAAGTTTTGGTGTAGCTGCATCATCTCGTAGAAGAAGCCAATCTTGGGTACAAACATGAACACCAGCGTGATCACAATCCAGGCGTAGTGCCAATACATCTGATACGTCGTGAACTCCTTCGTGATGTATACGATCTCAAAGGCCAGGGTGAATTCTGGCGCATTCGAGAAAATTTGGGGCTCCTGCATATCCACCTGCAGCGAAAAAGTTTGAGTCAGGTTCGAGTGACACAGGATGCAACTCGATCTACTGCCGTGTTGTGTTCATAAGACGGGCGCTGTGCCCACGTCACCTAATTTCGAAATGAGGGAAGGAAAGACTCGCCGCATGTCTGACCGAGCTCGACTCAAAGGAAGTAGAGGCCATCAGAACGCAACGACAGGATAGATGTGGCACAAAACACCGCCTCTCCACGATCCCGGATATCGTAGTACGTCCACAAACTCTGGTGACTCCGGTCAGTGCAGACTAACCTGCATGTAGTACGTCCCAAACTCGACGAACTCTTCCGTGAGGAGCGTGGTCCACCCGCACCACCTGGTGTGTCACCGTGGTTTAATGAACAGGTAAAAACACTCGATGAAGAAAATAAGAGTACGGCGCCAAGAAACACGTTGTACTAATTCTTACACACTCAGTGTTCCCAGTTCTCTCTTTTTGGCACATTTCCAGCAGGAGTCCAACATTCGCGTACCAGAACGGCCCGGTACAGCACTCGAGATACTCCGCACATCTCTAGTGCAGAAGGCGTATCTGTTCCACTCAAAACCCAAACGTGATCAGTGTAGTGTACACGATGAATCGAACATGGCAGCAACCACACTTTTCCTAAGACACACAAAACCGCACAACACATTATGCCATCTGTGTCCTAAAGCAGCTACAAACCACACCGGCGCAAAAACACACACGACATGTTAGAGCCGAACCAGCAGCCGCGGTACACCTAGCTGCAGGTCGCCACTCACTGCTCGTTGGAAGGACACTGAATCACGCGATCTGTGACGATCCCCTGGGCTAGCTCCACACACTGGCCACCCACGTTACACTCGGATGTGCACCCGTCCGGACACGCGATATCATCTACAGGTTCCTCTGACGCCCACGACGATACTGAGTACCGCTGTTCGTATGACACCGCTCCCGAAATCGTGTCGGGCTTGTTCAGACGCATGTGCAAGTAAAGAACCTGCGCGTGGTGCGGGTTGGGGGGTGTCACGTGGTAAAATTATTGTTTTTTGCGGTGTGGGTCGCTGGAATCTTCAAGTCTAAACACGTCAGCTGTGTGGGCTGTTCGAACTTTGGAGATGCGAATGTTTTAAGCTGGGTCGGACGTTTTTTCATCGCGTCAGCATCACTTCTGAAAGCAACGGTTTAGACCAAACTTCTGCATCCTCATCACTGCTGTGTTTCCATGTGTTTCCCCTACACACTACAAAGGAACCTATGGCTAGAGAATTTCCTAAACAAGACTGCATACCTGTGGCAAGGACGACCACATGTGTCGTACAATGTGTGTGTGGAACTATTATCTAGTCGTAACGAGGAGAGGGAAAATCGTAAAATCCGTGCTGGGAGAATGCGCTGGCGGAGGGAGATGCTGAATAACAAATAAATACACCCCTATCCATGCAATTCAAACAATCCTTCATTTCTAGGAAGCATACGTAATCTCACAGAAAGACTACCCGTTCGAGATAATACTTCAGTCGAGGGATGTGTTCCAAGTCTTCAAAGTGAGTAGGAAGAAAACCGGCTTGATACTGGGCGTATGTCGGGATTATTTAGGCCTAAACTATGACTTCTTGTCAGTGATGCCAGCTAATATCACGAAAACCTCTCCCCGATCAATAGTATTCTTCGGGGTCCAACGACCAAAACATGGGGGAAAACGGGAAAACCCTGGGTCATGTGACCATGAAAGTACTGCTGTATGTGTTTTGTCGTGTGTTGTGACATTCTGCCTTCATCACAGGAACACGTCGCAGTGTCTTTAACAATTTGCTGGATCTATTTATTGCTGCTGTTGATCTACAGTTGCGGCAACTTTAGTCCATCATTTCTGTCGCAAGCGCTATTAAGGAGAAGCAGTGCATTTGATTAGGTAGCGATCAGAACCACCTTCACCTTCTCGGTCGGGGAGAAAGCATACAAAAAAGTATATGAACAGCAAGCCACGTCTCTAATGAATGGTCCTTTACAATACAGATTAAACAAAAAAAATACGCTTCTTCATTTTAGGATATCATTGCAAAACGTTGCTTGGCCCACCTGATGCCATCGCTCCATCCCGTCAATCTTCCCGTACCAGGTCACATTGAGATCTCTTGTCTCGACGGTGGCAGGAGGTGACTTTTCAAATACGTTCGGGCCTTTGATGGTGCCCACGATTAGACAGGCCAGGAGGCCGATCACATAGACCGCACTCAAAATTCCTGGTTTCACGAAAAACGGAAGGTAGGGTGAGCAGTGCATTCCATGAGCGAAGGGAAGCCTGGGCTATCTCAAATATGCTGCGCAATTCCTAGCCGTCTATCATATGCAGTCGTAGTCTTGCAGTCCTTCAAAAGTCAATGCACACCGCTCATTCGCAGAGCTTGCTTCCAAGGATGAATTTGTTTGGATGACAGCAGTTGTTCCGTAACAAGGCGCATGGCGGGAGGTACAATCTCCTGGAGAACTAGGCCCATTTCTTTGAGAATTTGCAACTAGAGCATGGTGAGGGCTACATCGCGCACACATCCACTTACCAATGCCGAATCTGGTGCTGTAGGGAGCTGACTCCAGCCGGACCTTGGCATAGCTTGCGTTCTCCATGACTAGCACACTTTGTTATTACGCAGCACACGCGTGGTCGTGCTTGGAGATCTACCGCACAGGCACACCCTATGAGGTATTGTATGTGTCAACAAAATGTTGAAGACAGTTTCTCTCCAGCCTTCTCGTACGCTTCCCCTACTCGCTGCTCGTCCCGTGGTAACGGTTGTGTGCCTGTGTTGGCCTCGTTGCTGAGCTGGGGCAATCTCTCCGACTGCAGGGATGTGTGGATGTTCCGCGCCAAAAGCGCAAGAAGAAAAAAACACAAATAAAACAAGCACACGAATCCGAAGTAATTATTGATGGAACTCCCGAATGAAACGGCTGATTTTCCTTCACGAATTTCGACTCATCATCCAGCAGGCATGAAAACAAGGCGTCCATCATCACCACTACCCCCCAATACCCGCAAATTCTGCTTGTATCTCACAGCGATGCCTAGTGGGTCCCGTCTCCCCGCTATGATCACATGCCGCACGAACCGCACACGAAGTGTTTGCTGTGCACGTCAGATTTTCTGAACTTTAACTGACGCCAACTACGCAGTGCAAGTACTTGGTGCACACACCAACACAGGACAATAATAGCAGAACCGAGCATATCGATAGACGGCGTAGCGTGTGTGCTATTCATTCATTGCGTCTTGCAATACCTAAAGCACGTATCGATTTGCAATTCTGCGAAGAAGTCTATTGTAGCCAGCAATCCGTGTCTGTGGATGGGCACACACAGCGTGCGCAACCTATTTCGACCACCAATCAATCAATCAATGTCTATCGGCGGTCAATAAACAGGTACGCAGAGTCTATGGTGGCCAGCAGTATTGTCTTCGATACAGTGCCAGCCCGCTCACGAGAACCACTGACTGAGCGACGGCTTCTTCTACAACAAATGGGGGGAGTGTACTCATTCCCGCGGTCGGTAGACCATGCCTACCTTGCTGGGACGGAGCGAAATGCCGGGTCATCATCCTTCGTTTTGCTTGTATTAATTACCCGTAAGTTGCATAAAAGATACCACGCCCCCTGGAACGATTTTCAGCGCTTCATCACTCCACGACAAAGAGGATGCTGGCATCAAACGATAGGTTGTGGGAAACCTCTCGACGAGACGGTTCCAACGCCGCCATTTCCAGCACCGCCACCGTAGGTTGCATATACGATACCACACCCCCTGGAACGATTTTCAGAGCTTCATTACTCCACGACGAAGAGGATGCTGACATCAAACGATAGGTTGTGGGAAAACTCTCGACGAGACGGTTCCAACGCCGTCATTTCCGGCACCGCCAATGTTTTTTCTGCCGAGTATTCAGGAAAAATAAATACACACAGAAAGACGACCCATTCGAGATATTTTGTACAACTAACCTTCACAGTGGACAGACACGGCGCAGTGTCTATTGACAACTTGGTGGTTTGTGAGATCTATTTTAGGAATAAAATTGTCGTAAAAATCATGGAAGGGAGAGCTACATCGGACCAGGGGGTTTGTGATGTCTAATGTGACCTACAGTAGAAAATTTGGAAATTGATTGTAGCACGTTAATTTCTTGGCGCCTTTTTCTTAAACATATTTCTTACGAGCGGGCCGGCCCTCACTGTAGACAATCTGTTACACCCCCTTGCCGCCAATATGCCAATTCAATGCGTGTGTGTTTATTTTATTCGCATCGACCGCGCTAACCGGCTGACCAATGAAAATACGTCAGTCTCAGTGCGGGTGAAAACCAAGAACACTTCTAAATCCCATTATCTGGAACCCCGTGAGGAAGCGACAAGGGGGAGACTAACCTATTATTTGGATCAAAGACAGAAACGGTGGCAACAGAAGAAAACTGCACACGTTTGCGAAGGCTGCTACCTTGCACTCGGGTTCGTTTGGAAGTGCTGTCACCACCATTCTCCTTCCTTCCAACTCCATCCATCGTTCTCGTGGCCATTTTCATACAAACCTTTCTCGACATGTATGTTTCCTCTCTAGCCCTGTTTCGTTTGTGGTGTGCGTTCGGCCCAACTATTCTGGCGCCGGTTTACTGAGGCCTTTCCGCTAATTATATACATGCCTGACGTATCATCAGCCGGGGGGTTGCACGAGGAAGGTCATCACAGACCCTCATTTTTAGGTGTTGTTTTATTGCCCTATACCTTCCCCCCCCGGCGCGGCGCCTGCCTTTGTTTTTATCACCAAAAAGGATTCAGTCATCGATTTCCCTAGTCGACCGCGCGGCCGAAGTGGTATGTTTACAAATGACCGAGGTCACTCTCCATAAACCATGTAGGTTGTTCTTGGAAATAAATCCCAGGAAAACAAACTTCCGGAAAGAGAATCGAACTCACGACCTGCCGACAAGTACGGAGTTGTGCAAATTTGACCACGGTTCATTACATTAATCCCAAAATATGCATCAATATATATATATATATGTCTTTGTCTTCACTTCAAATCAGCGCTCACAGCATTAGTGCCGTTTTCTCCAACCCGTCGTCACGCAGAAGGCCCCCTCTCAAACCTCCTCTCCTGCGGTACCTCGCCGCCTTCGATTTTTAATGCGAGAAGAGTTTAGCATTTTCTTTCCTCTGTGCACAAATGAACTAGCGCTATCCACTAGGCCAGGAGCGGAAGCGAGAGAAAACTCACTTTGCCACA